CCCGACGCCGAATCGCCTCAGGGGAGGTCTCCTTTTTTTTTCCCTCCGCGGGGACGTCGTCGAGACGACGCGACGTCGCCTCATTTATTTAAAATTATATATATATATATATATATATATATATATATATATATATATATATATATATATATATATATATATATATATATATATATATAAGCGCCTCGACGACGTCGCGTCGCCTCGGTGACGTCGCCGAGCCTTTTTCTAAAAAAATATATATAAATAAATATATAAATATATAAATAAATATTATTTTATTATTATTATTCGTTCCGTCCGGTAATGGGCGGTTTACGTACCGGTATACCGTTGGACCGGTACATACCGCCCGTACCGGGCGATATTATTCGGTATTGCTTACCTTGTGCTTCACATTCTGCTATCTACAATAGAAGGCACCACATTGAATTTCAAAAAAGATTTAAAGCAACTTATAGATAAGAAACACAGCAAAAGCACACTAAGAGGAAAATCAAGCACAGACAGGATGATTTATTCTAGTCATTCGATGTTTAACTTCAGTCAACCTTATTAATTGACAACTTTGGAGCATAAGAACTTTGTAATTTATGATAGACAAACTGGGGATGACAATGAGTTAAAAATAAATGCTACTTAAGTTTTCTCAAATATATACAGTTAAAACAGCACTTGTTTCAATGAACCACATCATATCAACTTAGCCTTCACTTACCCGCAAGTCCATTTAAACTCCCCATCACAATATACTCCAAAAGCTTCAAAAAATACAGCTAAAATGGCAGTTACAGTCTTTATTATCATCTGTACAAAAAAGATAACACCATATGAATCACACCCTTCACAGATAGGTATAACAATTTTCAGGTAAAAAAACTTACATATTGGACAATTCCAATTTTGATAATCTGGTAAAACCACTCGCCTAGTCTCCATGGCTTCAAAATATAGTTCATCAGAAAAGGATGCTTTATGACTCCCTTCTCAGAAGCATTCTCTAATAAGGGTGTATTAGAAATTGTGGCACCCTGCCTCTTCAAAAAATCGATTGTTCTCTCTTCCCCACCTAAAGAAGAGCAGGACTGCAATCAGAAATTACAGCTAAATCCTATCAGGGAAAACACATTACACACTCATATCATTGATCAATTAAATATCTACCATCAAGCTGGAAAGCTTAGGAAGTTCCTGACTATGTTGCCACCATCTAACATATGTAATACAAAAGCTACTAAATGGTCATCCTCCACAAATAAGCATGTATTTTTAAATATAAAAAGTGTTAAACACATTAATATGACCATCTTACTGCATAACACCAAATGGAAACGAAATCTTGGTGATCTAAATAATCATGTGACCAATTGTTAATCTTCTAGAAAATTGCATCTAGCAATATAAAACTAAAAAGTCTCTTTTTTTTACTCTATGATGATCCCAGCATGTCGCTCCACCTAAAGTTCTGACAAAGCTTCTTCCAGTTTAATGAAATTTTCCCGCAGCCAATAGTACCCTGGTGCAATAGTAGTAACTCCTGGTTAAAAAAGTAAAAACTGGACACTGAGTTTTATGCTCATCCAAGTTTAAGAAAGACTCAAAACTTGCGTAGCCTGGTCAGTTAAGGAATAGCCATGAAGATGTGTGACAATCCATATGCTCAATGCAACAATAGACTGTATATCAATTATGGTATCAAGATGACCTTGGTTCATCTTCATGATTAAAGCCTGATATAGCAAAGTATTAGGTGAAAAAGAATGTTTGATGATCAACTATATCCTCTCTAAGATAGATGCACGATCATGAAACTTTTCTTAATAAAGCAATCATTTCTGTTCTATTCTAAGGATGAGAACTAAGTGGCATGCAAGGTTGCAAATTATCAACACCAAGAAAAACATATCATAGACTTTCTCTAAATGAGAAATATCAAACCATCAGGAAACACAGGAAAATGCAACCCACTAGCCAATTGAGCACAAACGACTCATTGTGAACATAAAAAAATGGATAAAACATATATATATCAAGAAAGAGATCAAGTTTGAAGGAGAAATGACACAAATAATCTTCATCGACAAATAAGAACTAGAGACAGATCATCTAACAGGATCTTCTCTAAAAAGGAGGCATACCCAGGCAGGCAACAAGATATCTTCCAAAGCAATACATGGCAAAGGCCTCATAACAATCACGCAGAATCTCACAATCAACACTGACCGATGGATTCACCAGTGATACATACTACAATAAGAACAAAAAGAAGATTCAGCAGTCTTTCGAACATATAATTGCAGCACCACCATTATAAGAAAGTGTCATATATCACTGAAAAGAAAATTTCATCCTTTAAAATTGTTGTTGGTGTTGGTTAGCAGTCAAAAAATGCATATCGTACTTGTATCTTTAATTCAAACCCCCATATCTTCTTTAAGACTTTAAGCCAAAACCCTCAAGTGATGACAAAACTCACCAACTCAATGGCATACCAATGGTCCATTAAGATCACCACTTTTTAATTATGCTCCAGTGACTAATGATCTTACCGATTCAATGGCGTAGCAAGGAACCATTAATATCACGCCAATTAGAAACTTCTGCTCCTGCAAGAATGTAGGCCAAACAACAATAAGATTACAAGATAATAAGTACTCCAAGCACATATTGAACAAAAGAAGGAAGAGAAGAAGTCGAGCAACCTCGGGGTTCTTGTATGCAGAAAGGTGTTGGAATAGAAGGAACATGGAAAGGAAGAGTGTGACAACTACCGAAACACCACCAACAGCCGTGGCCCATATGGGCGGGGAGTAAGATAAGAGACTCTGGAATAGCTTCTCCGTTATCTTCATGGGGTAGAACGACTCTCAACTTCCCTGAGAACTCACAGCTTCTGAGGATAATTCTAACCAAAAATAGATCGTCAAACACATCTTTATACTCGATCAGTGGACTGCAAGCAAATTCAACAAGTGTTCATCAATATTCAGCCTCATAGGTCAAAAGAATGACCAAATTTGGCGACAAAACGACTCATCAATTGTGCCAAATCACAAGATCGATCACCTTGCAACAAAGGGTAAACCCGAGAAGGTAACAACGCATGTTAAGAGCCCACAACTCCTCAATCTATTCAAACCGCAATCTAAACCCAAATCATGAGAACGAGAACCGAAACCAACCAAAAGATTTCACATTGGATCAAGAATCAAAATAACCGCAGAATCGCTTCGCGGAGCTGGAATTGGAACAGACAAAGAGGAGAAAGATCAAAACCTAGAAGGCAAGGGGTGGAGAGAAGGGGAATTAGCGCGCGTGCCGTCCGCCTCTGCACCGATCGAGGCATCCCGGTTCGAAGTCCTTCTTCCTCTGGAGGACAGAGGGAGGCGATGAGATGCCACTTGGCCGGTGGTGCGATTGGAAACGAACGGACGGCAGAGATCTGAATCAAGATGCGATAGCGGTGTGAAACGTAGCAAGGGGTGATTGTGCGTCTTCCTGATCGCGATGGACGGTAGAGGAGCGACCTTAGGATAACTCGGTGAACGGTTGATCGAACGCTGTATTGTACTATTTCGTGGCGAAATAATTCCTTTTTTTTAATCTGTTTTCTCGTGTAAAAGAATGAAAATATAATTCGAATATTTTTTTTTTTCGAAAGGAATAAAGTTGGATGATTTTTCTAAAAAAACCTATATTTTAGATATTTTTCAAACATATTCCTTTTGTTTTCTTTCAAACGTTTTTTTTTTTGTCAAAATTTTTCACTCGATTTTTTTTACCAATTTTTAACTGTTATAATATTTTTCGTTTATAATATTTTTAATAATATTAATAATATTTTATTGATATACTAAAAATACTATAAATATTATTAAAAAATATTATAAATGATATCTTATCGTGCTTCTTTAATTGTCAGTATTCATATCATATTTTTAGGCTTATAGCTAATTTGATTGTGGTCATAAGTCTATTAAGATCATTCGTAGTGTTTTTTTTTTATTATAGTGACCAAAATACAGTAACAAACAAAAAACATTATAATAGACCAAAATACTGCAACAAATGAGAAAAGTTTTAGGACTAATTTAAGTTATTTTTAAATTATAAGTACTGTTTGAAAAAATAAAATGAGGTATTGATTGAAAAAAATTTAAAATATGAGTATTTTTTTAGAAAATCATCTAATAAAATGTTGCCTTTTTATGTGACATAATATTAGAATATTTACGAAAGACTTACATGTCATTAAGGTGATTATAACAAATTTATGATGTCATCAAGGTAATTAAAATCATCTAACTAAATTAAGCTCGATTACTGGATGAGTTAACAATCAAATAGTAACAAAATAATCGTATTAGATTAAGGTATTACACTATAACAATGAACCTCCTATATCCCAAACATTAACCCCATGTTTATAGGGTTTGAATGTGTGAATAAGCATTTTCGACCGTGTGATTATAGTTTTATTCTTAATTATTCTTAATTTAGAGGTATATGGCTTATAATGTGTATGTATTGATATGGTCATTATTTTCAATAAATCAGTATTACAAAATTCAATGACATGTCACAATGAACTTTGGAGATGAAAGATATAAATGATATATTCTCTTGTTAAGACGATGATTATAAGAATAATACTTTATAAAGCGGTCTTCTAAAATATATTTTCGTTCAAGTTTTACTATACAAATATTTACGAGCTTTAGATGTCCACATATACATGCTAACTTGATGAAAAAATATGGTTTTACTCAATAAATCATGATGTTATCCTTTATATGAAGCAAGATACGAATATCTTCTATCCTTGAGCCGAAGTATTGGACATAGACTTTAAACGCATACTAACTAAAACGGGCATGCGATATATATTTTCTTCACTTTCAAAATAATAACTACCCTATTTGAATTTCGAATATTCAACAATCTCCTTTTTCTTCTGGATGTGATAGTACTCGAAAAACTGACTATGTCAAATTACTTTCCAAATAATGTGCTGAGCTAGTTTATACATTAGAATAAGCATATTACTATCAATGTCCATCTATAGCCGCATCAGATCGAATCGTAATAGAGTAGAGTAGAGTAGAGTAGTCCACCTCAACAATGTTCATGTTTCGTATATCATCCACCTCATTTATTTATGTGTGATCCAACTCCATACATTCAAGAGTCGAAATATAGTAGTTTATGGTCCATCCTATACAAGAGAAGCTGGAATTTAGCTCTATGTTAGGTGGCTGTGATTTCTAGCCATCCTTGGGCACATCAATTGGGATCAGTTGCAGAGCAACCATCCTCCTATCCTGAATTTGCTCATAATTTTCATGAACAACATTTCGTTTCTTGAAGCATCCAAAGAGTCGATAATCGCATGCAATTAATAGATGATAAATGGTGTCAGTCCCTTTTAAAATCATCAGATCTCAGATGCATTAGGATGTGGGTATGAATCAGACATCATAATATACTTCTGCTAGCTGCATCTGAAGTCATAATATTGGGAAACCATTGGCTCGGAGCCACAGTCATGCTAGTGAGCTCCAAAAGGCTGTTCACAGTTGGTGATGACTACCGGACAAGCCTCGGATAGTGCTCAGCATGATGCTCTCCCTTTCCGCTCTCTGGAATCTGGTCTCCGTTTAATAAGCTGTAGCCGACGTTTGGATCAAGTGACAGTGGAGCTGTAGCAGGATATGTAATCTGCACTGTGGGTTTCAGATTTAGATCCTGAATCCCTGAGACGAACGGTTCCAACTTAGCGTAGGGGGGAGTACGAACACCGAGGAACAGACAGGAAATGTTACACAGAATCACATACAGCTCAGTATTCTTCAAATTGCATTTTAATTCCCAGGTCAAATAGTTCCATGCAAGCAGTGGTGTTTGCATTGGAGGGTAGGTAGGTTTGCGGTTGATGGAAAGACAGAGAGGCTCCAAAGTGAGTGCCTGTGGATGAACAAAGATGTCGTGAAGGAATTCTCTTCCTTTTGGTTTTCTTCTCATTCATGCAGATGTCAACTATGTATTTTGGTTGATTCAATTAAATAGGAGGCGGAAGAAAAGGTTTGCCGTACCAATCTATCAGCTTACGTGTGCTGTGGTGTGGTGTGATGCTTTCATACGGGTCGTACGTCCGACGCTGCATCAGATTCTGGCGGATGCAATCGCAGCGCGTGAATCTCGAGATGCGAGCAGCCGCTCAACAAATCCATCCGTGTACGCTTCACCCGCGTCGGTCGAAGGTGAAATGGAGAGGGGTTCCATGGCAGATTGACTCCGCATCTTCGACCGAATCAGAGCCTTGGGATGTGGGAGGAAGCCACATGCCCTGGACGCAGGAATCACCTTCCTGGTCCACATCATTTGGCTGCCCGTCACCGTCTCGATGACAGCATGCATCTCAGGTTCCTCGTCTGCACGCCCCCCGTATCGCTTGCCAGTTTCAAACCCTCCCCCCCCCCCCCCCCCCCTTCCGCAAGCCCACAAGCTTATGTCAACTTTGCTTGGGTTATTTTATGGAGAGTTGCTGATGGTTGGAGAGCCCAATGGTGGTGGGGACCAATATGGAAAGATTCCAAGAGCACAGAGCCAAGCTTGATGACAACAAAACTTGTGTCAATCATGCATTCATCCTTCGGGATTCACTTGAGATCCTTTGGGGAGAATCAGGGCATGGAAGGGGAGGTCAGGGCCTGTGTGCAAGGTGATCTGGGGTTTGTGGCAGGGAAGAGGAGGAGTTCATGGTGAGCCCTTCTTCTTGAACCACATCAACCGGGCTTCCGAGCAGAAAGCCCCCCTCTTGGATTTATCTGAACGGGAAAAGGTGCGTCTTTTTCTTCTCTTGGGGGGATGTGTGGCTCAGAGGGGAAAGGAAACCCCTTGTTGGAATAAGTCCCCTAAAGATTAGCTTTTGCTCCACCAGCTGCTCTCTTTTCTCCAAGGTGTGCTTGCATCTGTAGTTAGTGGTTTTTATTCTTTCCTTGGATTCTTGCGTTGAGCTTGAGGGGAGGGGGGGGATTGACATCTGCTTTTCCACAACGAGAATCTCTTGTTGTGCCTGCAATCTTGACCAGCACAGTGAGTGAAATGCTCGTCGTTCATGTGCCAGATTGCAGTTAGGAAGTCATTGAGTGTTGATTGTTTCTGCTTGGCTGGAATTTCTGGTTTCTCTTGATGACGATGATGATGATGCAGTTCTTGGGGTATGGTTTTAGTAGGTTCATGTGGTGAGAGATTTCAGTGATGGAAGCTGTTCCTCAGCCTGATAATTCGCGTCTGGTTGGTATTGAAGAGATCTCGGTGATGGAAGCTGTTCCTCAGGCTGATACTTCGCTGGGGCGCAATCTCGCAGATGGTGCTGCTGATTTGGATTTGCTGGATCAGCTGCTCTCAGGAGATGGCTGGATGGAATTTCCTGATTGCCCTGATGCCTTGCAAGCTGGTACTCCTGACTCCATGAGCCCCTTCAATTCTTTGAGCTTTTCGCCTCTCTTTGAGGTCAGCAATAGTAGTCCCAATCCAGATCGACTGGATGGTTGTAACCAAGATGATATAGGAAGGTCAGTTGTATCTACATGTCCTCCTCCGGATGAAACCCGGGCTGAAAACATCGACAAAAAGCAATCCCTCAATCCAAGTTCTGTTAGACGGATCATGCTTTCAGTCGACTCTGGTGATCTATGTTCAACAAGCCCGAGCTCTGCACCAGGAACAAGCTGGTGGATTCAACCAAGGGAGTCTAATTTTTCTGTAAAAGAGAAATTCATGCAGGCACTTGATTACATCAAGGAGAATCAAAGGGAAGGTGATGCCCTAGTTCAGTTATGGGTGCCTGTTAAGAGAGGAGGCCAATTGATTCTTACAACCTACAGTCAACCTTTCTTACTAAACCGAAAATGTGAGAAACTCGTGAATTATCGAGAGGTCTCCGTAAACTACCAGTTCTCAACTGAGGAGAACTCTGGCAAGGCATTAGGCTTGCCTGGCCGGGTGTTTCTAGGAGGATTGCCGGAATGGACGCCGGATGTTCGGTTATTTAGCAGCTATGAGTATCCACGTGTAGATTATGCCCAGCGGCTTGATATTCGTGGCAGTATAGCACTTCCTGTTTTTGATCAGGGTAATCGATCTTGCTTGGGTGTTGTGGAGGTTGTCATGACGACACAAAAGATAAATTACACTTACGAACTCCAGAATATTTGCAGTGCTCTTCAGGTTAGGTTTTTTTTCTCCTCTCTATATCATTCT